TAAGAGTTTCAGGAAGCTCCTTCAACTCCACTTTTGGGGCACCATCTTCTTTGTCAGAATCCTTCTTCTCAAGAACTTCAAACACAACACTTTCTTCTTCCTCAAAAGGAACAATATCTCGCGCCTCTAGTTCTTCCTCAAGCTCTTGAATAGAAGATTTCTCTTTTTCCACCACTTCTTCTAAAGCATCAAGTCTGAAACAATCACCTTCATCAGAAGCTTGTCTCATAGAATCAAAGACATTGATGGTGATAGTCTCATCATTCATCCTTAACTCGAGTTTCCCTTCTTCAACATCAATCATAGCCCGAGCAGTAGCCAAGAAAGGTCTACCCAACTGATCAACCCTTGGTTCATCAGGTTTTTAAGCATGAATTAATATCAAATTGTGTGATTAAATGGATGGAAAAGAGGTTAATGTCCTGGAAATCTCTCAAATACAAGTTCTGAAGCTTATGTTGAAAATTTACATTGTTTTTGTAGGGAAATGAAGCTCAAGAAGCAAAAGAGAGAAGGAAGAAGATTATGAAGAATGGGAAAATTCTAAGTGTTGGGCGTTAAAACGCCCAAAGTCAAGAGTTTTAGCGCCCTGCTGCAAAATGAAGCCAAAAAGTGATGGTGCTGAGCGCTAAAACGGCCAAGTCAAGCGTTTTAGCGCTCTGATGTGCAAAAATGTTCTGGTCATGAGCGCTAAAACACCCAAATCGAACATTTTAGCGCCCAAGACAGTTGAAAGCAGTTGGGCATCCGTCAAAGTTGGACGCTAAAACGCCCATAAGTGAACGTTTTAGCGCCCAAGTAAGTTTTAAGTTGTAATTTGTAAACTATAAAAGGGCAAGGGGCCTTCATACTCTGACATACAATCCAATCCATTCTCTGATATTCTGACTTTTCCCATCACACTAGGAGAAGGGAGATCAGGTCAGATCTTTCATAGATCTGATCTGACTCCTCATTTTCTCTGACTTTCCAAATTCTTAGGACTTAGTATTGTAATAGTTAGTATACTTTCATGTAATTGTACTTGAAGATTGAAAACTCAACTATCATGACAATGGAGTTTGATCTTTCTTCTTCTTCTCTTATTATTATTTGTATTATGTCTGAGTAGAGTCCTTTGTAGTCTGATTCAATGGAACTCAAGTTTGAATTTATGAATGGTTAATTAGATGTTTTGTTTATCTATTATGTGATTGTATGAAGTTGTCTTGATTAATTCTTCATGTTGAGGAATAGTGTAGAACAGACATGTTTACATTGTTTCTCTATTTTTGACAACTTCATCATCAGTGTTCTAGTAGTCAAGGGATTGATGCTAGGATTCTGATGTGATCTTAAGACCTTAGTAATTAATGCATATATTAAGAAAGGAATCACCAAGGGATTGGGGTTTCTGATTAATGTGTCTATCAGGGTAGTAAGGGATTACATCTTGAGATGATAAGAAAAAGGTTGATCGACATTACATAGTAGATAATTCATAATGGAAATTGGTTCATCTATAAATTCATGTTTGAGGGAAAATGACATCTGACTACTTGTTTACATTATAATTTACATTTTTTTTATTTATCAAGTTTTAATTCAATTCAGTGTAGTTTCTGGTGACAAGAAATCTATGCAATCTATGAACTTTTGTTTGATTCAACTCAAGTACATATGGTTAGTCAGTGCTTGACACAAATCCTCGTGGGAACGATCTTTACTCATCATTTTATTACTTGTACGACTAGTGCACTTGCTAGATCCGCAACAAGTCTTTGGCGCCGTTGTCGGGGATTTGTTCTTCAACATTGACAGACACCATTGATATTTGAGATTGAATCTTTTATTTTTCAGCAATTTAAATTTATGTGTGAATTTTTGTTCTTTCTGGTCCAGAGCGCTAAAACGTTCAGACGTGACCGTTTTAGCGCGATGCGACGCACATCAATGTGCACATGTCTCTGGAGACCAGCGCTAAAACGCTTGATTTCAACGTTTTAGCGCTGGTCCACTCATATGATTTACATGTTTCTGGGTAGTTTTCTCTTAGTTTTATTTTGCTGTTAGTTTAGTTTTGTAATTCAGTTAAGTACATTGGGATATTCACTGTTTTTGCATGATGCACATTATGATAGTACTGATGCTATTGGTTTATAAATGAATGTGTTTCAGTGATCAATTGCTGTTTCAGATTTGAATTAGTTGCTGGGGACAACAACGTTTAAATCTGGGAATTGGGTGTGAATGAATGGCATGCAAACATCATGGAGATGTCCCACAAATTGATGAGCCAAAACAGGGAAATATCTCAATCTTTTTCTTTTTGTTTTTAAGTTTTCTGTGTGATTTAGATTTTAGCTGTAATATTGAATTTGGATTTCAGTTGTGATATGGAATTCTATGAGGATTTGACTGATCAAAGCTTTATATCATTGATCAAATTAAGGATACAATCTTATACCTTGCATGTTGAGCTTAAATGAAATGATTGCATGACTCATTCAATGTGTAAGAGTAGAAAGATTAGTTTTGATGCATATAGAGAAAGTCAAGCATGCACTCTGAACTGTGAGGAAATTGAGCCTATAGAGAAAATTTTGTTCAGAGAGAACTTCACTGCATGAATAGCTCTAGAACTTGCCCTGTTTCTTGCTTGAAATGGTTGATGATGTGTAGGGTAGAGGCATTTCCTTCTTGAACCAGAAAGTCAAATGGCCAACCTTTAAGTTCCAATTGCATGAAACACTTGAGCCAAGAACCACATCTATTCCAATCCTTCATATTAAAAGTTTCAGATAAGTGATAAGGGATGGAGTGTTCTGTGGGGAGGAAAGCGATTTTGCAATAAGTGAATGCAAGGTGTTGGAAACATAAGAAAGAAAGAAGGAAAATAAAGAAAAGGTTATGAAACACAAAGTGTTTGGAAGAGACAGAGGGAAGTATTAAAGACACAAAGTGTCTGAAAGAAAAAGAAAAAGAAAATTTTTGTTAAAGACACAAAGTGTCAGGAAGAAAAGGAGGAAGAAAGGTTCAAAGAAAAGAACAAGGAATGAAAAGGAAGAAAGTTGAGGGAATTAGGAAGAAATTGATTAATTACTGTGAATTCCCTCTTATCTGAATCTGATTCATTTGATCTGAACTTCGCCTTTCACAGAAATCCTTACCTCTAGTCAAGCCACACACCAAGCCTCATTGCTAATCATACCAAAACCTTTTTGATCTACCTTATGGATCATTGTTACTATGAATAGTGAGAAGATGGGCAAGCCTATGGTAGTTTGAGTGCAGTGAAGAGTGAGTGATAAGTACATCCATAAACACTAGTGTGCAAGAGTGTTAAAATTCTCATAATTTTTGAGAAGTTCCTAGTGAGGGGGTGTTGTGGTTTTGGAAGTCTCTGTATATCATCTCTACTGATCTGATGAAAAGTCACAAATGATGTTGGGCAAATCATAGGAAATAAGAGATTGCATGGTTATAAGCTTGTATCATAAAATGTTGATCTTTTGTTAATTGAAGTCCATCCTCATGAATTTCATTTGTAAAGAATCTCAATTTCTTCTCTGTTTTTAATTCATTGCTGAGGACAGCAATGTTCAAATCTAGGAATTGTGATAAACCCTTGGTTCATCAGGTTTTTAAGCATGAATTAATATCAAATTGTGTGATTAAATGGATGGAAAAGAGGTTAATGTCCTGGAAATCTCTCAAATACAAGTTCTGAAGCTTATGTTGAAAATTTACATTGTTTTTGTAGGGAAATGAAGCTAAAGAAGCAAAAGAGAGAAGGAAGAAGATTCTGAAGAATGGGAAAATTCTAAGTGTTGGGCGCTAAAACGCCCAAAGTCAAGAGTTTTAGCGCCCTGCTGCAAAATGAAGCCAAAAAGTGATGGTGCTGAGCGCTAAAACGGCCAAGTCAAGCGTTTTAGCGCTCTGATCTGCAAAAAGGTTCTGGTCGTGAGCGCTAAAACGCCCAAATCGAACATTTTAGCGCCCAAGACAGTTGAAAGCAGTTGGGCATCCGTCAAAGTTGGACGCTAAAACGCCCATAAGTGAACGTTTTAGCGCCCAAGTCAGTTTTCAGTTATAATTTGTAAACTATAAAAGGACAAGGGGCCTTCATACTCTGACATACAATCCAATCCATTCTCTGATATTCTGACTTTTCCCATCACACTAGGAGAAGGGAGATCAGGTCAGATCTTTCATAGATCTGATCTGACTCCTCATTTTCTCTGACTTTCCAAATTCTTAGGACTTAGTATTGTAATAGTTAGTATACTTTCATGTAATTGTACTTGAAGATTGAAGACTCAACTATCATGGCAATGGAGTTTGACCTTTCTTCTTCTTCTCTTATTATTATTTGTATTATGTCTGAGTAGAGTCCTTTGTAGTCTGATTCAATGGAACTCAAGTTTGAATTTATGAATGGTTAATTAGATGTTTTGTTTATCTATTATGTGATTGTATGAAGTTGTCTTGATTAATTCTTCATGTTGAGGAATAGTGTAGAACAAACATGTTTACATTGTTTCTCTATTTTTGACAACTTCATCATCAGTGTTCTAGTAGTCAAGGGATTGATGCTAGGATTCTGATGTGATCTTAAGACCTTAGTAATTAATGCATGTATTAAGAAAGGAATCACCAAGGGATTGGGGTTTCTGATTAATGTGTCTATCAGGGTAGTAAGGGATTACATCTTGAGATGATAAGAAAAAGGTTGATCGACATCACATAGTAGATAATTCATAATGGAAATTGGTTCATCTATAAATTCATGTTTGAGGGAAAATGACATCTAACTACTTATTTACATTATAATTTACATTTTATTTATTTATCAAGTTTTAATTCAATTCAGTGTAGTTTCTGGTGACAAGAAATCTATGCAATCTATGAACTTTTGTTTGATTCAACTCAAGTACATATGGTTAGTCAGTGCTTGACACAAATCCTCGTGGGAACGATCTTTGCTCATCATTTTATTACTTGTACGACTAGTGCACTTGCTAGATCCGCAACACCAACAACAGAGGCATTTCAGTACCCTCTTCCATATCCAACACTACAAAATCTGCTGGGAAGATGAACTTGTCCACTTTAACAAGAACATCTTCAATAATACCACTCGGTTTCCTCAAAGATCTATCAGCAAGTTGCAAGAAAATCTTAGTAGGCTTGAGCTCAGAGGTTCCCAAAGATTTATACACAGACAAGGGCATCAAATTTATACTTGCCCTAAGATCACACAAAGTTTTGCCAACATTTTTGTTACCAATGACAATAGGAATGTAAAAACTCCCTGGATCACGACGCTTACGAGGAAACTTTTTCTGTATAATAGCACTGCACTTTTCAGTAAGTGCAACAGTTTGGCATTCTTGCAGCTTATGTTTCCTAGACAACAGATCCTTTATGAACTTGGCATAATTTAGCATGCTAGCTAAGGCTTCAGCAAATGGAATATTAATGTGAAGCTTTTTGAAAATATCTAGGAACCTAGCATAGTGTTGCTTCTGAGCATCCTTCTTGAATCGTTCTAGATAAGGTGCCATGGCTCTCACATATTCCGGATTCAGCTCAAATTTCTTCTTTTCAGCAATAATTGGTAGCTCCTCTTCTTTACCTTTCTGAACAGGTTTCTCAACATCAGAAGGAATCAGAACCTCTTTTTCTGGCTCCTTAACCGCCTTAAGCTTCTCATCAGCTTCCACATTTGTGTTTGGCTTTTCTGGAGCTGCTACCACTTTACCATTTCTAGTTGTGATAGCCATACAATCCTCCTTGGGATTAGTAACTGTATTGCTAGGGAAGGTACCCTGAGTTCTGTCAGCCATTTGTTTAGCCAGCTGGCCAATTTGATTCTCCAAATTTCTGATAGAAGCCTGTGTATTTCTGGTATTTTCCTGAGTCTCTTCCATGAAAGCATTAGAATGTTGGGCCATTTGTCCCACTAGCTTCTCTAAATCAGAAGGTTCCTTCGGTTGAACTGGTGGTGGTTGCAGATAATTATTGGACTTGAAGTCAAGACCAGTACCCTGCACCCTCCTCTGGAAGTTATTGTTTCCAGAAGGAAAATTCTGATTTCTTGGAACATTTTGTGGTGGGGGCCTCTGATCATACCACACACCATTTACATGCACCTGTTGAGGAGGATTGTCAGATAGCAAGGTAGGACATTCATTAGATTCATGACCTTCCTTGCAATATTCACAAATAACTGAAGCAACTTTAGCTTGGACGCTAGAGAGCTGCATTTTATCAAGCCTTGATGTCAAATTCGCCATTTGTTGTGATAACAATTTATTTTCAGGCAATGCTGCATCATTGTTGTCTAGGTGAAGAATGCCTCTCTTAGGCTTAGATGACAACCCTTCATTTTCATTGGCAGCCATTCTTTCAATCAACTCAAGAGTCTCATTTGCTCTCATTGATTTAATGCTACCACTTGCTGCACCATTCAGAACCATCCGAATTTCAGGTTTGCAACCGTTGAAGAAGATTCAGACCTGATCACCATTAGTCATGGGGTAATGAGGACATCTCCTCATTAGATCTTTGAATCGGTTCCAGGCTGCACACATAGTTTCACCCTCAGCTTGAGCGAAATTGGTGATATCATTCACCATTTGATTGTATCTTTCCATCGAGAAGAACTCCGCAAAGAACTTGTTTGATAAATTGTCCCATGAGGGAATACTTCTCGCAGGTTGCCTCTCGAACCAATTCAAAGCTTTTCCTTTAAGAGCAAAAGGAAACAGTCTCAGCCGGACTGCATCATTGGACACTTGAGGATGTTTAGTCGAGTCACAGATCATCAGGAATCTGTTTATGAACCTATGAGGGTCTTCATCATCCTCTCCACCAAACTGAGCTCTCTCCACCAGTCGAATATTATCAGACTTGAGCTCCCAATTATTGTTTCCAACTTCAGGATGGACAATACTTGAATTGGGCCTGTTAAATAGTGGCGTCAGAATGGTGTCCATGAGTGGATTGTCCGCTTCATTATTCCCTGCCATCTTGTGTGCTTTTTCAGACAGAATTTCCAACTCGTTGAATGCAAGCTTCTTCCGAGCAAGTTTCCTGTTTCTCTTTTCTGTTTTTGTAATCTTCAAGTCAAGTGGAAATTCTAGCTCTTTACCTCGCATACAACTCAGAAAAGGGATTAGTAGCACTGTTCAAGAATCAAAGAGAAATCAAAAATAAAAATAAAATAAATATAAAATAAAAATAAAATAAAAATCCAATCCTAAAAATAAAAATTAATTGATAAAAGATACTCCAATCCCCGGCAACGGCGCTAAAAACTTGATGCTCACCGGCAAGTATACCGATCGCACAAGTAATATAATGTTAAGTAAAGTTCGTCTGCACAGGGATTGTGATCGTATATCAATTAATATTCCTTTCAAGAATGGAAAAGTTCAAAAGGGTTTGTTTGTGACAAATAATGTCGATTTGTGTGAAAGTGAGAATTGAAAATAAAGACTTGTTTTTGTAATTTTTGCTTATGAGAAATAGACAATAAAAATAAGAATGTGTTTGTGCAAATATGAGAAAATCATTGTAGCTAGAGCGCACTCACCTTATGATCCCCACTTCTTACTTTGGATTGATTTACAATATTCATTTATAAAATTACTCGGATAAATTATTATCTAAAATAATTAGTTAAATCTCAATCCCTTGGCAATTTAACCCTTTAATCTCAACTGGAATTCTAATCCCTTAGCATCCTTTCATGAAAATTAAGCGATAAACTCAATAATTTAGGCATCCGCAATTCAATACACATCTATTCCTAGCATGCATACGAATCGTTATCCTACCCCCTTTCAGGATGAAAATCCCAATATTCCTATCTAGGATTCTAACCCTCAGACTATTATCAACTATTAGAGCGATCAATTCTAATAAAGAAAATATAAAATGCGAACAGGGTAGAGATAAAGATAATTACATAAACGAGCAATTATAAATCAATCCGCGTAACAAGGGTTCACATAGGGTTTGTAACCATAACTACATAAAAGAAATTAGCCAGCCATAGACATGGCTGACATAAAATTATAAAAGATAAAGATGAAAGAATGTAATTACAATGAGAAACTAAGAACAATCCTCTGCTCTTCTCCTCCTTCATGAATCCTTGTTCTGCTCCGTCGTCAAAAGTTTCTCCTAAAGAACCCTCGCAGCGTCCTTTTAAGTTCGAAATTGCCTCCACGCTGAAGTCCGCGCGGGTAGCGCCATTCTGGCGCGGGTCTAGCGCCACTTTTTTGCACCGGGTCGATTTCTCGCATGGGTAGCGCCATTCTGGCGCGGGTCTCGCGCCAAATCCCTGGTCTCTGTATTTTTCCGGCGCTGCAACAGCGCCAAAGTGGCGCGGGTAGCGCCACTTTCCTTTTTCAATTTTTCTATTTCTTCTTGCTTTAACCTGCAAAAATGATATAAAAGATGAAAAATAAACTGAAATAGGAAAACTAACTAATAAAAGTAATTAATATACAAGAAATGCTCTTTTATGACTAATTTCTTATTATTTTTGGCTTGAAAAACACCACATGCCAGAGGCACATCATTGGTCCTAGTAAAGAGGTTCTTATATAAACGATAGGGATGGTAGTAATAATATAACTGGTTGTTAGTGGATGCCACTAAGGTATAGTTAGGTATAAAATTAGATGGGGGATGAATGTGCTTCAGAGAAGACCCTTAAATGGATTGAAAAACAAAAAGGAAAAAAGGGAGTTGAAATGGCAGTGTGAATTTTAAAAAAAAAAAGACCCTTAAATACATTTGGTATAAGAAACTAGATTTATTGTTCTAAGGTATAGTCGTGGCTCACGCCTCTCAACGTTACTGTCTCTTGCTTGTTATCAATGGGCTTCATTGTTCTACTTGAATTGCTCCAAACTATCGTGCTATGGCTTTGAAGTATTATTTTTAACCCTTAAATGGATCATTCCTTCTTTTAGGTATAAGAAATGAGAAGAGTGGATCCATATATCCTGCTCATACTCCTTACTTTTTCAATGACGAAGATGTGCTTCCCATTGGGGCTGCAATACATGCGACATTTGCTATTTCATTCCATTCATGTTCAACAAATTCTTATTTTTAGAGAGGTATTTCTAATGGTAGCTAGTTGAAATTTATAGTTTAGATCCATTGATTCTATGTAGGTTAAGCTTAATTGATTTAATTGTGATGATATTTAGTATTTACATTGATTTTGTGCAGGATTGATCCTGCGAAGTTTAGACCATTGCTGCTGCTGTATACTTGGCCTCCATTCTTGAGTATCTGACAGCTGAATTTCTTGAAATTTTTGACAGCAATGTTAGGAATTTACATTGATAGCAATGCCTCCATTCTTGAATATTTACATTGACAGCAATGCTGGAAATGCATGTGATTAGAATATTGTCACCTAGATTCAGTTTGTAGGAAAGTATGCTAACTTTTTTCACTTAATGATTGGTATTCCGAAGATTTAGTCATTTAATTTCTTTGTTACAATGTTGCTCATTATGAGAAAATGTTGCTCATTATGGTTGTAAATACATCCTGTAAGCTGATCATTGTTTCTTGTCCAACCTCTGTAAATACAATCTGGAACACTACTAGGACATATGAGTTTGTAATATATTTGGGTATGTAAATCAGTGATATTTATGTTTAACTTTGTGGAAACCTTGGAATGTATTATAACAAAGAATATATTAAATATGGATTTTTTTTAAACAAAAAAATACATTTTAAATTTTTGGAAGGCCCATGGGCTAGCCCTAACCCATAGGGTTTTTGGCCCATATGGGCCTATATTATTATGGGCTTTTTTACCCTAACCCACATGGGCTAGGGCTAAATGGCCCGTTTTGACAGCTCTAATAATAAAGGTACAAACACTCATTTTTAAGCAAATTCATACTAGTTTGCACCTAGGTTACATAGTTATCTCTGTTTACATGCTCAAGACTCAATCTTTCTCATAGAAATTCAATGGAAAGAGGTGGAGGTTCATACCCAAAGCTCAAAATAGAGGAAATGGATGATCTTTGAGGTCTCCACTCCACCCAAAAGCTATGTCCAGAAGGTAACACGAAAATACCAAAGCCAAATGATGATCCTTTCTCCCCCAACGTCTCCAAATAAGGTGAAATGGTGGTTCAATCTCCCAACCCAAATGGACAGCATCTACAACCAATCAAAGCAGCACCTTGGACCTTCAAAGATTTAGTTTTTCTCCCTCAATATGTTGACTTTCAAGTGATTACAAGGGTTAATTAATGAGAGGATGAAGAAAGGTGAGTTCTTCGATGATTTTCATGAGGAAAACATCAAGCTTGCTTGAAGAGAAAAGAGAAAAAGAGAATAGAGCTCTAGGTTTTTGGAAGGTGGTCTACATAGGTTTCATGAAGAAATGAGAATATTATATGTGTCTTAGCTATTTAAAACACTACTCACTTAAGACACCTGATATTAGTTCTAATACCACTGTTAATTATTTTTCTCTCAAACTTTACAATACTAACCTAGTATATTTTCTAAGAATATTCATATTTTTATTTCTATTTTTCGGGTGACTTTGCTGGTACACATTTATACCGCGAAATACACAGTATTCGCACTTTTCTTCCAAAAAGGACTTGATATTAATATTATAATTTCTCTATAATTATTCTATGTTAATTATGGAATTATTTTCTAAACTCGTAATTAAATCATTAAACTTTCTAATTTAGCGGTGCGAGTTCTTACAGTTGGTAACTATGGAAGTGTGTATGACTCAAAAATTAGGACCTCTTTTGATGAGGTAGCACACTAAAATGGGCTTAAGGGCGTTAAAATGCGCAAAATGCTCAAGCAAAACGCGCCATAGCCTATAGGGCACTTTAACGCACTATTGCTGGAGTTATCTCGCTTCAATTACACCTCTAAGCTTGTTTGAATCACTTGGTATAAGGGTGTGGTCGTATCTTGGGCCTCCCTACCTAAATTAACATTCATAACTCATGGTTTAAGGTCAACTAAGTGATAAATCAACATGTTCATGTAAAACGAAAATTTTACTCGCATTTTTACTAATATTATCAATCCTTTGAGTTACCTAATGGAAGTGTTATGCTTAAGGATTGACCAAATGCCTAATAGCTATTATTTAGCTACTTAATACCATAAATGAGTTTATACACCGGGTGCACACAGGGAGTTACAAGGTAACTATTTAGATGCTACCATGTTGAACAATCTAGATTGTCGTTTTCAACGGACAAGCAATCAATTTAACCCAACAACTTAAGATAATAAGTAATGGATTTTTAATGATTTTATATTATATCTCCCTAACATCAACTACCTCCTTCCTCTTCCCCTATATAAACCCCTCACC